AGGAAGATGGGGCGGAAGAAAGCAGTGGGTCCAGATGGCATACCGATCGAGGCTTGGAGAAGTTTGGGAGAGAGAGGCATCGGGTGGTTAACAAATTTCTTCAACAAAATTTGGAGAAACAACAAGATGCCAACGAGTTGGAGAAAGAGTACTCTTATTCCCTTATTTAAGAATAAAGGTGATGTACAAGAATGTGCCAACTATCGAGGGATTAAGCTTATGAGTCATACCATGAAACTTTGGGAGCGAGTGATTGAGCAAAGACTTCGAAGAACGGTGAAGATTTCAGAGAATCAATTCGGTTTTATGCCTGGTCGCTCAACAAGTGAGGCTATTCACCTTCTTCGGCAACTTATGGAGAAGTATAGAGACTCTCACAAGGATTTGCATTTAGTGTTCATTGACTTAGAAAAGGCATATGATAGGGTACCTCGAGAAGTTCTTTGGTGGGCCTTAACTAGAAAAGGCATTTCACGCAAGTATATCAGCATCATCATGGATATGTATGAGGATAGTACTACAAGTGTTCGTACTAGTGTAGGGAGGACTGCGGAGTTCCCTATTACTATCGGAGTGCACCAAGGATCGACTCTGAGCCCTTTTTTATTTGCCATAGTCATGGATGAACTTACAAAGTCAATTCAAGACGATATACTGTGGTGCATGATGTTTGCCGACGATCTTGTATTGATTGATGAGACGCAATCAGGGGTTAAAGCAAAGTTGGAAGTATGGCGACAGACATTTGAGAACAAGGGTTTCAGACTAAGTAGAAGCAAAACAGAGTACATGGAGTGCAAGTTTGGTGGAGGTAGAAGCAGTGGTAATAGCGGAATTACTTTAGATGGTAAGGAGATACCGGTCAGCGATATGTTCCGTTACTTGGGCTCCATAATTCAGAAGGACGGTGAGTTAGATGGAGATGTATCCCATAGAATCAGAACAGGGTGGATGAAGTGGAAGAGTGCGTCAGGATTTCTATGCGATCGAGGTATGCCGACTAGACTGAAGGGTAAATTTTATAGGACAACAATTAGGCCTGCATTACTGTATGGCACGGAGTGTTGGGCGGTGAAACAATGTCACATTCAAAAGATGAGTGTGGTAGAGATGCGCATGCTGCGTTGGATGTGTGGGCATACTAGAAAGGACCGCGTGAGGAATGAGACAATTAGACAAAGGGTGGGAGTAGCACCTATTGAAGATAAGATGCGGGAGTCACGCCTACGGTGGTTTGGTCATGTGCATAGAAGACCGAGTGATGCACCTGTCAGACGAGTTGAGATGTGTGGAGAAGAGGTAGGGAAGAGAGGGAGAGGAAGGCCCAAACAGACGTGGGTTAGGGGAGTCAGAAGTGATATGCTTCTTCTTGGATTGGATGAGAGTATGGCTTTGGAGAGAGCAAAATGGAGGGCGGGTATTCGTGTGGGAGAGTGATCTTGTATCATCTTTTCTCCTCTTTTTTTTTCTTTTATATTTTTATCCTTATATATAAATATTACTTTATCCTTTTTATTTGATCTTTTATATGTATATTCATTTCTTTTATATTATCTTTTTTTATAATAGCTTATCTTTTTTATCTTTATTTTCGTTCTTTTCCTTTTGGTGATATCATATATCGATTCTTGTTAGCCGACCCCAATATCGTTTGGGACTAAGGCTTGGATGTTGTTGTTGTTGTTGTTTGTTGGATCTTAGGTTTACACATTTTATAGTTCATTAAATCCAAAAGAAAAACTACATAAGAAATAAGAAATGGATGAAGTATGTAATTATAAGTGATTTAGTTACAAATAAACAAGTTTTAATATTAAGTGTTAAAAGATGTTATTGAAATTACATGTCATGTATTTATTAGCTACATTAAAAAAATTAATTTGAATCCTAAATTTGGACAAATATTAAACAGTTTCAAAGGGAAAAGAAAAAACTACACTCCACTAGGAGGAAAATTAGTGGCGATAGGAATCCAACCTGGACATCCTAGAGCAGCGCGAAGCACTACAGCCACTACGATGTGGAACCAACGTGATAATTTAGGATCGTAACTATTCTTATACCATACATAAGATAATGATACATACACCCAAATAAAATTTATATATATATATATATATAAGGGAAAAGTACACTTTACATACCTATGGTTGTGGCCGTTTGCAATCAGGGGTCTGTGATGAACTTTGCAACAAATCCAAGCTTGTGCTTTCCTACCGTTACCACCCGCGGGGTCTAAGCAACTGGGCCGTTAGTAATACGCTACGTGGCACTTTTTTTCCAACTAATCTTCACTGTGGCCAATGAAGATGTATTATTTGAATTACTTAAAAATGCAAAAGTTAAGTGAAATTAGGGCTGAAGAAAACCCAATTACAATTAGGCACGATACTGAATTTCTTCCTCCCCTTCGATTCTACACCTCCGGTTGGGAAAGAACAAAGATTGTTGGTTGAAGCATACAAAGGACAATAACGCAAGCACTGGCAGATGGAATTGTAGATTTTTGTCCTTACCGTCTTCACGTGAAAGTAAGTGCTCCAATTATTGTTTCTTTGGTTTACATATTTTGGTTTACATATTTTGGTTAGGGTGTGACGCTTGTTAGGAAACCTGGTTGGTAGGTAAATTGATGTGTGAATGGGTTCGTTGGAAGTGTTAATGGGTATGTGTAGGTTGTGTTGCAGTTTAAATTTTCATTCTTTTGTGGTATTGAAGTGTAGTTTGTCTGCATTGAATGTATGTGCAGGTTGGGTATGAGTGAGTACGTGAATTTGTTAATTCACCATGCTGGGAAGTGGGACTGTCCAAAACAAAAGAAAAAGTATGTGGGGGGCCAGGTTTTGGAAAAAGATAAAGTTGACATTGACTATGTGAGCAAGTTCGAATTGGAGGGATATGCAGCAGATTTGGGTTATACAAATGGGGTAAAAATGTGGTTTAGAAGATTCTCAATTAGGGAGTTGTGTGGACCAGTCAACTTGCAAGAGATAGTGTGTGATAAAGATGTTCAAGACATGTTGGTGTGTAACATAATGGACCCACACATTGACTTGTACTTTGTTGCAAACACAAGTAAAAAACGGGTGGTTGGTACTTTAGCAAAAGAAACAACCCAATCTTCATAGGAAGCCCATAGTTCAGTCCCAACTCAATTACAAAATAAAGACCAAGCTCGAGAAGCACACCAATCTGTGGGTGAATCCACTACATTTGTTGAAACTGAATTACAGAGTGATGAGGATGATGAAGACTGTGTGAATCAAAGTGGATCTGAAAGTGCTTCACATGACCATTTCAATTCCAATCTCAGTGAAGCTAGCTGGCTATATGATGACCTAGAAGGGAGTGAAGATGATGTATTTAATCGTGGAGCTGCAAGTTTAAGCCAACAACCACCCCCAGGTCCAGACCAACCTTCAGAACCAAACCCCCTTTTTCCAGAAGATCTGAATGAAGAGCAGCTTAAGGAGTTTGATGAAAGTCCATGCTATAGTGATGACTTGCATAGCATTGTAGGATCTGAAGATGGTGATGAAAAGTATGAAGAGTTCAATGAAGAAACAGGAGCTAAAAATCCAGAATTGTCCAAAGGTTTGAAATTTACCTCACATACCTCTTTTAGAAATGCTCTTAAGGAATGGGCAGTCAAGGGTGGATTTGAATTCAAATTTGTGAAGAACAATAGATCTAAATTCACTGTGGTTTGCAAAAACAAGGATATTTGTTCTTTCAGGGTTCATGCATCAAAAGTTCCAGAATGTGGGTCCTTCCAAATAAAAACATTCAGGCCCAAACATGAATGCCCTTTTAGTAACAGAAACAGCTTGGTGAGTAGTAGCTATTTGGCAAAAAAGTACATGGATGAGTTGAGGGAAAATCCTAAGTGGGATGTCACTGCTATGCAAAAGTCAGTTCAAAGACAGTTAAGGGCAGAGGTGAGTCTTGCAAAGTGTTACAGAGCTAGAAGAAAAGAAAAGGCAAAGATCCAAGGAGACATCAAAGAACAATATAGGAGGTTGAGGGATTATGCAGAAACTGTTGTTAAATACAACCCTGGGAGTCTTGTAAAAATCAAAACCGAAGCTAGGGATGTCAATGAAGAAGGTGGTGCTGCAAAGGGTGTACCAAGAATACCCAAGAAAATTCTAATGCTACAATACATGTACATGAGGTTTAGTGCTCAGAAGCAGGGTTACTTTGCAGGTCTTAGACCCTTAATAGGGTTAGATGGGTGCCACTTGAAAACACCAATGGGAGGCCAACTGCTTTGTGCTGTAGCAAGGGATGGAAATGAAAACATGTTTCCTCTTGCTATAGCTTATGTGAACAGTGAAGACAAAGCTTCATGGACTTGGTTCTTGCAAGTGTTGTTTGAAGATTTTGGAAGACCAGAAGAAACTAATTGGGTATTCATGTCAGACAAGCAGAAGGTGTGTTAAAAATGTGTACCTATATCATGCTTAAACAAGTCCTTTTGTTGTTTCCATATACTGTTTCTAATTGCTACCTTGTTTCAGGGACTGGTTGAAGCATTTAAAGCTGTCTCACTTGCAAATGAGCACAGATATTGTGTGAAGCACATGTATGAGAATTACAAGAAGATATTTAGAGGGCCTGAATACAAAAAAAAAGCTATGGTTTGCAGCTAGCACTGGAAGTCTGAGGTCATGGCAGAGGCAAATGGAAGGCATCAAGAGCTTTGATGAGGCTGCTTATAACTGGATTATGCAGTATGACCCAAGTACTTGGAGCAGATCCCATTTCTCAACCCTAGCACATTCTGATGCTCTTCAGAACAACATTTGTGAGTCATTCAATGCCTACATACTCAGAGCAAGAGATATGCATATTTTGAGCATGTTTGAGTGGATTAGAAGAAGATTAATGGATTGAGAATTTCATACCCAAAAGAAGCTGTTCTGTAACACCACTATGACATTAAAGAAGTTCACAGCACTCCCAGTATATCTACTATAACATTAACCAAAACAAGATGTGGAGAAATAAACTGCTATAACATTAAACAAGTTCACACAAATTGTTACAGCCAAAAACTTCATACAATCTGACATCAACCCTTACAAGGTTCTTACATTGGTGCATTACATTGGACATCACTCACAACAAAACGCCTCACATGAAATTAAACTAAAGGAATCCCCAAACACAATTACATGTGGTTTGGTCATTTCATCGAAAACTTAGCAAAGAACTTAGACCTAAAATCTTCTACTTGCAAAGAACATGAAAATTAACATGGCCAGACAGAGGCACAGAGCAGCTTCCACTTAAAAGTGACATTATGATTCTTAGACATCTGCAGTTGCAGTTCCATGTTCTGGACCTTCAACACACCAATTTCACACACACATGTCTTTATTTCACCCTCCATCTCCAACTATTTCATCTGGACATATTCTTCAAGTCTTCTGACCTTCTCAATAAGAGCATCTAAGTTATCCAGACAAGTACGACACGTATCTTCTTCAACCCACTCAAAAAAATTGCATTGTTGTTCGCCCCCTCGAGAATAACGGTCGCAACCATGAAACTTTTTCCCCCGATTCTTCTCTGTTGTCGCCGTCCAAATAGGAGCTTGGACTCCACAGCCGCACTTCTTGATTTGTTGTCTTCCATCCATCGCACAAGAGCTCGAATTAGAAGAACTCATCTCTTCAAATTTGTATTTGTGTTTGTGGAAGAGAAGAAAGGATTTTGTATGCTTATATGGTCCAAATAGGTTAACACGGTATGGACTAGGGATAAAAGCCATGTAATCACACATGGTGTTAATAGATTGGGATTAAAAGTCATGTAAGCAAAAAAAAGTGCCACGTAGCGTATTACTAACGGCCCAGTTGCTTAGACCCCGCGGGTGGTAACGGTAGGAAAGCACAAGCGTGGATTAGTTGCAAAGTTCATCAAAGACCCCTGATTGCAAACGGCCACAACCACATGTATATATATATATTATATAGGGGATGGTTCAAATACAAAGAGGTCTTCCCATGCAAAGTAAGAATTAATCTCATGCATTCATTTTTAGATCTAATGGCTCAAAATGAGCCAAAAGTGAACTGTATTTGATCAAAAACGCGGTGGAAATTTCATAATTAAAGGCTTAAAGCGAAGTTTTTTGCCATCGAGAAAAAGTCAGGAGAAACACGCAAAAGTGCAACGCGATGAAGAAAAAGTGCAACCGTTCGCACTTTGCACGGGAGAACCTCTTTTTATTTGATCTCCTCCCTATATATATATATATAATAGGGTTAGGTGGGGGTTGAGTGGGGCAGCTGCCCCCACGTCAAATACGCCCCTAGTTCTAGCTCGAACTCTCATCTTTAATTTATCACGCTCGAATATAGCAAAGTTCGAACTCAACTCATTTGAGTCCCTATTTAGAGTGGTATGAAATGGGGACATTTTTCTTGCAATTCTTCCAATGTCAGCCACTCATTAACCAATCGAGGCGCCCACAAAATGTCAACTTGCTGCAGAAGAACATAAAAATGTACCTCATAAGATTGGCATACGTTATACATCTACTTATTATGAAAATAGTTTAAAGACTTAAAACTAATAAAAATCTAATTCATACACTACATTCTTGGGTAAGGGAATTTAGGGTTTGCAAGTTCTTCTTCAAGTCTTCACCTCTATTCATAATGGAAAGTTCCAGGGGGGCATTAGTACAAACTAATATTGTTACCTGATACAAATCAAAGTGAAAGAAAATAAGATGGGAGGTATGGAGCCCCGCCATAAGGGCACTGGGCCGGTACAAAGAATATTTTTAGAAAAAATTTATACGAAATTTTTTACCTTAAAAATTTAGCCATTTTTAAAATTTGGGGTGGGCCATGGCCTAGGTTGGCCACACCTAGCTCCGCCCATGTTGAAAAGAGAGGGGTTCAAATGGCAACCGGAATCCATCTCAGCTTTAGAGCAACTGAAAAAAGCAATGACCACCCTCCCAGTTCTTGCAACCCCTAATTTTAACAAAAAAATTGTGGTGGAGACGGATGCATCTGGGGGGGGGTAGGGGCAGTTTTGATGCAAGACGGAAGCCGGTAGCCTTTATGAGCCAAGTACTATTACAAAGGAATCAAAGGAAATCAGTTTACGAAAGGGAGTTGCTGGCAATTGTGATGGCCATACAAAAAAGGAGACACTAGCTATTGAGCAGAAGCTTTAAAATTCACACGGATCAGAAGAGCTTAAAATCCCTCACTGAGCACAGATTACTGGGGGAGCAACAAAAGTGGGTAGCAAAGCTATTGGGCTATAATTTTTTGATCAAGTACAAACAAGGGAATGAAAATAGGGCCGCAGATGCCCTATCCCGAAAGAAGGATGTTTTTACTGGGATTGTAATATGTCCCAGACCAGATCAGACCAGAATAGACCAGAACAGCAAATTACCGTCCAAGTAAAAACATCCAAAGAGTCTACTATCATTGACAGTAGTAACCTACCAGAAGTTAGAAAGGTTGGAAGAACTCCTAAGAGATACCAGATGTCAACAGATCATTCAAGAGTTACTAACTCATGCAAACCCTCACCTTGGGTCCCGTTTGAGAAAAGGATTATTGTACTATCGGGACAGATTAGTCCTGCCTAAGAACTCAACCCGAATCAGCATGATCCTTAAGGAATTTCACGACTCAGCGATGGGAGGGCATGCAGGCTAACTCTGGACCCTCAAAAGAATTACCAATATTTTTTATTGGGAGGGCATGAGGGCAACCATTAAGAAATATGTCAAGGAATGTGAGATTTGCCAGAGAAATAAGTATCAAGCATTAAGCCCAACAGGTTAGTTACATCCTTTGCCAATTCCCAAACAAATTTGAACAGATATCAGTATGGATTTTATAGGTGGTCTACCTAGGGCGAGGGGTAAAGATACAATATTGGTGGTCGTGGATAGACTAACAAAATTTTCCCATTTCCTAGCTCTAGCTCACTCATACACGACTAAGGAAGTGGCTGATTTGTTCATACGGGAGGTGGTCAGACTTCATGGTTTTCCAAAAACCATAGTCGGGAAAACATATTCATGAGTTCGTTTTGGTTGGAGTTATTCAAACTGGCAGGGACACAACTGCACTATAGTACCACAGATCACCCTGTTCTGGTGAATAGGTGTGTGGAAACATATTTACGTAGTACCATTGGAAGCAAACCCAGGCAGTGGCACAAGTGGCTGCCATGGGCAGAATATTGGTACAACACCAATATTATCATTCTGCCCAGAGAAGCAACCCTTTTAAAGGCTTGTATGGCCATGACCCCCTGCTCTAGTCAAGGGAGATGCTACAGAAACTGCAGTAGATGAAGTCACTAAGTTAATGGCTAAAAAGAATGTCATGTTGGCAGAACTGAAGAAGAATTTGGCAATAGCTCAGAGTCAGATGAGGCAGCAAGCTAACAAACATAGGATGGATATGAAACTAGAAGTGGGCGACAAAGTGTACCTGAAAATACAGCCATACAAGCTAAGGAGCTTAGCGAAACAAATTAACCAAAAACTTAGCCCCAGGTACTATGGGCCCTATGAAATCATTGAGCAAATTAACCATGTGGCTTTCAAACTCCAGCTTCCAAAAGATTGCTCAGTACACCCAATTTTCCATATTTCTTTACTTAAGAAATCTGTTGCAGCAAACATACCTTGCAAACCTCTCCCTGATTGTTTAAACGGATGAGTGAGAACTCCAATCACAACCCGAGAAGGTGGTAGATTCAAGGATCAATTCGAAGGGAGTCAGGGAAGTCTTGATCCATTGAAAGCACTTGCCTAAGTTTGAAGATTCCTGGGAAGAGCTTGCAAAATACCAGGAGCTCTTTCCCAGCTTCCACCTTGAGGACAAAACTCATTTGAGTTCTAGCTCGAACTCTCCACTTTAATTTATCATGCTCGAATATCGCAAAGTTTGAACTCAGCTCATTTACATTCCTATATAGGGGGTGTTTGGAACGGATTCTACTCCTGCTTTTTTTTAAGGAGAAACGGAATCAAAATCTATTTTCAGAAATTGATCTCTCCCAGCTTCTAGGAGTGAATGAGTAGAAACAGCATTAAGAGTCAGATACAAACACCCCTTAGAGAGGTATGAAATGGGGGCACTTTTCTTGCAATTCCTCCAATGTCAGCCACCTACTAACCAATTGAGGCGCCCACAAAATGTCAACTTTCTGCTAAAGAACATCAAAATGTACGTCATATAAGATTGGCATTCATGATACCTGTACTTATTAACAAAATAGGTTAAACTAATACTATCGTACAAGATATAATTCATACACTGCAGCATTGGGTAAAGGAGTTTAGGGTTTGCAAGTTCTTCTTAAAGTCTTCGCCGTTATTCATAATGGAAAGTTCCAAGGGGGCATTAGTAGATACTAATATCGTTACCTGAAACAAATCAAAGTCAGAAAATAAGATGGGAGGAATGGAACCCCGCCACATTGAATTTAATAGATCATTAAAATGCAAATTGAGTATACTTTTCTTAGTCAGTGGATGTCAAGTTTGACTACTAATATTTTTTAATTAAAACAATATTTAAAATATGAAAATTATATGCACATATTCTTTATTAAAAAATCTTTCATAAAAGTATAAAATTTATAAATTAAACACAAATATAATAACCAAAATCATTGTCTAAACATTAACACATTGATCGAGAAAAATCAAATTGGACAATCTTTTTGGGACGAGGGTAGTATTACATTGTCAGTTACTACCTCCGTCCCACTAACTTTGAGACAAGATGAGGTGGTGCAATTATTAAAAAAGTAAGTTTATGTGATTAATATTGAATTGATAAAATAAGAATGATTTAGAACCACACAAATTTTACCAAATTTGGTGTAAGACAATCTGAGTGGGACAACCCGAAAAGGAAAGATTGGACAATCTTAGAGGGAGGAACGAGTATTAAATATGAAAATATAAAAAAATGAAAAACTTTGAATCCTCCATTACCAGAAAAAATATTTGCTTATTATTATATTTATTTTAGTTTTTTTTCCATAAAACAATGTGTTGTGTTGCACTTTAAGGTAAAAAAGTTAACTAAGCAACTCACAAGACATAACCAAGCCTTCACCTATTGCCTAGAGGAGGGCACTTCAAGAAAAAGTGACGTTTCAAAATATGTTTTTTCTCGTATAATTAATACTAATAGTTTATTTGGAACAATGTTCATGTAACTTGGCAATAAAAAACAAATAAAAGAAGGGTTGGTTACACATAAAAAAAATTAGTGAAACCAACAAAAATAAAACAAAACAATTGTCTTGTTTGCTTTAACTCAAGTGTTAAGTGGTTGAAAAGTTTAAAGTTGTGGTTGAGATATGAGTGAAAAAAGATTAATTGATATGAACCACATATTATTGTGAAAAAGGAAACACGAAAATTCTTCTGGAACATTCCAAAAACAAAAGTATACAACAATTATTTTGGGACCGAGGGAGTAGTATATACGAAGTAGTTACCACTATATAGCCATTGTTGTGTTCCTGTTGTGTGGTGTCTGCAACAATGCATGTCTTTCTTCCAACAATGAAGTTGAAGCAAGCAATGACAAGTCTTTTAAGAAATGAGATCTCGTCTTCAAAGGCATCCAATATGGACCTTTCAACATAAAACCTTAGACAGAACAGAAGTTTAGTTGTCCTACTAATCACTTTACAATAAAAATGGAAACAAACCAAACCTAGGACCGATATCAAACCTTTTCTGCTCTTTCCAGACAAGCTCCAGCATACGTGTCTCTTTTGAATGCACCTACAACAGTGTCATATATGGGGCATCTTATATGTTCTTGAATCTTATGTCTTCTTTCTTTCGTATAAAATAAATAATTAGTAAACAAATTATCCCAATTGCATGCTGTTTTCACAGAGAATAGAGCAACCAAGGAATTCAATTTCACAACAAAAACCGGTTTTTGATAGGATTAGGTTAAACTTACAGAAGCAAAACCATAGATGCAAGACTCCAGGTTTGCAAGAAGAAACTCAGTTACACCTGCATTTTTGTTTCTTTTTATGTAAAAATGAAAACTCATCCAGGATATAAAGATTGTTGCACAACAACATTAAGAAATCACATACATACATAAAATGGATATAATGAAGTCAACATGGTTAAATGAGAAAGCAAATTTCATTTCCCAATAAAATAAGTGAGATTTTGTAGACAAGTTATTAATAAAATGGTAATATGGAAAAATAATCCCTGAAGTTACTAATATTAGGAACAAACAGTTAAAAATCATAACTTAATTTGTATACTATTGCTACCTAAAATATAAATCTTTGAGCTTTACGTTGATCTGCAATGTGAACATAAAAATTTCGAGTAAAGGGTCAGTTTGGTCCTCGAAGTTGCAAAAAAGGGGTCAAATAAGTCCTTATATAGAAGATTTTGTCCGGACGTGCCATTTGAGGTGGCTCCCGGTAGAATTTTTTGATTAAATTTTTTGAGCATATTATTCATTAAGTCTAGTTTACTCATACCAAATTTCAGCTAAAAATTCAATCGGGGAGACATTCAAATGAATTCTTGAAGATAACTGCGCTTTTAACGGCACTGTTATCTTCAAGAATTTATTTGAATGTCTTCCCGATTGAATTTTTATCTGAAATTTGGTATGAGTAAACTAGACTTGATGAATAAGATGCTCAAAAAATTTCATCAAAAAATTCCACCGGAAGCCACCTCAAATGGCACGTCCGGACAGAATTTTCTATATAAGGACTTATTTGACTCCTTTTTTGCAACTTCGAGGACCAAACTGACCCTTATCCCTAAAAATTTCCCTATTATACTTTACAACCCTCAATAAAGAATTATTTTCAAAGTTAATCCCAAAGATCTTTATATATGATGCAACCATGGTTAAAAACCTCTATATGATGTGTGATATTTAGTTCCATTTGTCATCCGTGTAACTATGAGTCAGTTGCTAGTATATGTATTACTCCGTATTGTATACTACATATATACATATGTCTGTATTTAAACTAGTACAGATTAAGGAATACATGACAAGTGTTGAAGCCTTAAAGGTAGTAAATGAATCCACAAACATATTGAAGGGCAAGTTAGAAGATACACCATCTCAATGTCTTAATGTGTCACCAGTAAACTAAATTACTACTCATGGACACCACCATTTTTCACAAAACAGTAGGCGAGTCCTAGCGCCTGTAGAGAGCCTTAACATTAAGCACTAACACTTAAATCAAGTTTTAGTTATACATATACATGGGGGATAGTAATGCCACATATGAAACCAAAACATGAGCATTACGGAAACTGATAAATCATAAATGTACCATGTAATTGTTTTAATCCCATCCATCTATAGCTACTCGTATCACGAAGCCTGATTCGACCTCGACCAACTGGAAGTTAAAAAACATAATACTATAATGTGTTTAGATCTTCACATCACACAAGATTCAAATGATTTCAAAAAACAACATCATTAAAGAAGATGCTGGGAGAGTATCAACGGATTATAGTGGGAGGAGGTGGTCTAATGGCAATTTTTTTAAGTTGCCCACGAATTCTTCTATCTTTATCACGCATTGCTACCTGATTACACATCGTAACAAAAAAAATGCGATTGAAACTTGAAAGTCCAGAATGAAAACAAAAATTAGCCGACATTTCTGAGAAACTAACAATTAATGTGAGGGGAAGAAAACCACATACTTGAACTCTGTAGATTTTGTCTGGAGGAGGCGGAAACAATGAGACATAGACTACACAGGACGCAAATGAAAGCCAGATCAAAAACAAAGAACCAAAGAGAGCATCTAATTCCGGGTCTTTAAAATGCATATCCAACTCAAAATGAGATAGTATTTCTTCCTCTTTTATTGGGCTCTTCCGAAAATAGTAACAATCACCGGGACCGGCTAGAGCGAAATTATTACCGCCGCCACACAAAGCGATCATCGTTGCCGTCAGCACTACTGTATTTCGGAGAAATTCATAAAAAAGATCTCGACTTTGGCTTGAATTGTTCTTTTCAGAGGGGAAAGGGTTTGCCCTGGTGGTAGTACTTAAAGCACCGGTCTTTGGTGGGTAACTTGAAGTGCTTACACTCGAGCGCCATTCCAGAAGAGCATAATCATAGGTTAGATAGCGGTTGGGGTTAAATCTAGGATGAAAAACTCTGTTTGATTTCAATTGGAGAGGGATTTTAACTGAGAGAAAGACCTGTGTAGGCGCCATGGAGGGGCGAAATCACTATGAGCCCGTTTGGTAGCACCAAAATCGGCTGTTTTGGCTGATTCTGCTGAAATTTATGATATTCTGGCTGGAGTGGCTGTTTTGGCTGATTCTGCTGATTTAAGAAAAAAATATTTTAAAAATATATTTTATTAATAGATTAAAGAAAAAATTATATGTAAAAATAGCTATAATGGTCCTCTACAGTAACTTCAGCCAATACAGCCAGAAAAGTAACTCCAACCTTACTTTTTCGGCTTATTACACAATTCAGCGCGCGAAAGTAAAAGTTACGTGTTTGGTGAAAAAGTTGGCTGATAAGCCTGATAAGCCGAAAACAGAGTTCTCCAAACGGGCTCTATATGTGCAAGTGGAGGCCGCACTGCGGATATACGTTTTTTTTAAATATTCCTTCTCTGTATTTTATTCCGTATAGCTGTGTAAAATAGGAAAGTTTTTTTTTTTTGAAGTAGTATAATAGGGAAGTTATTAAAAACAATTTGGTGCATATATATAAAAGTAAAGAAACTGCGCATCCTCATTTTTTAGATTTTTTCCCTATTAAATTAAAGTATTCCTGAATCAATGCATTATGGTCGGTCGATACACGATAGGAACTCTCGAGAATAAGTAAGTAATTTTAAGAAAATTTCCATAAAATTATGAGCACTTTTAAAAAACCTCATTATAATTCATCTAGTTTGGAACGAAAATAATACTATTACAAATATTATGGAGACCTATGAACATATGTCGGGTCCAACAATAAATATTACTAGAATTAAAAGTGAGTTTATGCGATTGATATTGAATTAATTAAATAAGAATAAAGTATATTAGAGCCACACAAAATTTACCAAGGATATAAGACAATATTAGTGAGATTTCTCAAAAAAGAGAAATGAGACAATCTTAATGGGATGGAGGTAGTAATAAAGTTGGCATCATTTTCAGCCCCAATGATGGAGGAGCTTGTTAAGGATTAATTTCATCGGATCTTGGGAATGGTTGGAGATAGTTGTCAGTCAAGCTATCTGAGGTTACCAACTTTGATCGGGAGAAACAAATCTACTGTTTTGAGGTATCTGTGTGATAGAATTGTTAGTAATTACATTAAAAACTGGAATAATCGATTATTGTCTTGGACTAGCAGTGCTTTTAACAAATGTGATTAAGAAAATGCCTAGTTATGCAATGAATGTATTTCTTTTACGAGGGGAGCTCTGTGAGGAGATTGAAAAGCTTATGAATGAGTATTGGTGGGAAGGGACCAACTTTGATATAAAAAAAAGGGCTCAAGTGGAGAAGTTGGGAGAGTTTATGTAAACCACGAAATGTGGGTGAGGAGTTGGAGGTTTAGATGGGTGCGAGAGTTTAATTTAGTCATGCTCTCGGAACATGCCTGGAGAATTATTACAGATTCAAAGAGCTTGGTGAGCCGGGTTATCAGAGCACATTACTATCCGGACTCAACGTTTTTGGAGGCACGGGTTGGAAATAATTCCTCTTATATTTGGCAAAGTATTATAGAAACTCGGCAGGTTATGAGGGTGAATATTCGAAGGAGGGTGGGGATTGGTAGAGATACTCAGGTTTGGGCGGATAGACGATTGCGGAGGACGGGTTCGGGGGTTGTGCAATCACGCAGACCGGTTTGTATTCTTAACACGAACGTGACATCTTTAAGAGATGAGGAATGTAACTTATGTAAGGCCTCGAATGTGAGGAGAGTACAATCTTTGTTTCCACGGGAGGAGTGTAAGATGATCATTAGCATTCTGATCAGTTTATATGAAAGGGGGGGCAATTTGTGGCGGGCGGGCGAAAAAATGGCCTAATTTCTATCAAGAGTTGTTATGAATTATTAGTGGAGTCCCGAGTCCGTGACAACGGCAAACTGGTCTTTTAAAATCCGGTCGAAGGTTAATGTTTTTATGATAGCTTTTGGACAGGACACTTCCTGCTTTGTAAAATCTTAAGAAGCGTGGGGGTGCACATATCTACGGAGAATCAACGAAAAATGGTTTCCAAACTTGTCCAATTGGACAAGAGGTGTGGCGGGCAGCGGGTACACCATTGGGTATTTTGGCAGACAGCTTGGGGATCGGAGTTGGATCAAGGCAAACTTAGTAGGGAGGAGCGAGACAAACTGCGGCCGATTCATAACTATTCTTTGGAGTTTATGGAAAAGGAGGAATATTGCAATATGGTAGGATAAAAGGTTGGGCAGTCTACCAGTAATTTGAAGTGCATACGGTATTGGAATGGTCTAACCGTCTAATCGCTTTTTTTTTCGCAATGTCTATATAATCCATCTTTATATAATATAAAGTAACAGAATTGCTACAATTTTTGGAGGTAAAATTCCCATTTGAAGGGCATAATTGCCAACCAATAAACCAAAGATTTGGGCGTAGTCATATATAGAGAGGGACTTATGTTGAATTTAATAGACTCTAATATACTTGGCAAGTATTGTTAACCAAAATATTCATTGGCGGATCGGATGAAAAAACTTAAAACTACCAACGGATGGTATAAACATGGTAATACTACCATTTATAGTGGATGGTATTAATAGTTCTATGAATATTTATGCTGTCCATAATTTTATATGTAGAGAATATGTATGTTAGATATGTACAAAATTTTCTATATGGCAAGTAGTGTCTATCATAAATTTAGGTGTAAGATGATGATCAGTATGGTCACAATGCATTAGTTTATTTAATACTATTACTATTAGCGGATCTATTAACATGGTCATTCTACCATATATAGTGGAATATATTAATAATTGTAGTACATGAATATTTAGGTTGTCCAGTTTAATACTCCCTCGAATTCTTCCAATTTTTCTTTTTGGACAGTCCCATAAAATTCTTCCAACTTCCACTTTTGGAAAAAATATATGGTTCGCATTCATTCACCTTTTTCATCTTATTCCCAATTTCTAAATTTGCGAGCCAAGTTTGACTTGGAAGAATTTATTGGGACAGAGGTAATATGTATGATTGTATGAACACAATTTGAAAGTGATAATATTTTAGAGATTTGACATACTCCCTTTGTCCCGTTGGAAGATTCCCGTGAGTAAGAATGTTTTTTCTTGGACTATTTTCAATCCCAGACCAGACTTAAACAGACTAGACCGGACAATACTTAAACAGACCAGATCAAACCAAACGTAACTTCCATAGTTTTAAATACATAGAGACCAGACATTTACCAGGTCAGACCAGTTTTAAACAGACCATAATAGATAGACTGACAAATTACAGTAAAATATGCTAAATGACACGATTTTTTAGGCAAGTAGTTAAATAAAGTAATTTGAGTAAAAAAGATAGGATTTTTTTTTTAAAAAGTAAACATATAAAGTGAAAGTCGGAGATAAGTAGGGAGAATTCTGAGACTTGACATGTAATGATTTGGAAAGAGAAATTTGAGTAAGCGTGTAATTAAAAAGAGTAAATTATTTTCTTAAATATAATGAAAACCTTTAAATGGGACACCCAAATAAGGAAGGTGAGAGCTTTTCAACGAGACCGAAAGGAGTACAAAAATTAATATTGGAAATTATATATTACAAGTGTTAATTAACACGTATTTTTCATGTAAAATCATGAAATTTATTTAAGGGTAAATTAGTAAGAGTAATGAATAGTGTAAAAAAAGTAGTAGAGATGGTGGAAAAGTATGAGAGAAAAGATAAAAAGTAGAAAAAGGGTAATTGAGTATTTTTAAAGGAAAAAGTTACAAAAAAGGAAGTGTGACAAATTTTTAAATACATCCAAAAAAGTGTAGCAAACAATAAAATATACATAGGGAGTATTATTTATTTATTTACTTATTTATAGATAAGGTACATATTGATTTTTTTTACAGTAGGTACATATTGATTAAGTAGCTGATTCAAAGAAAAAGTTTGCTAAGATGTGAGTAAAATACTTCTACAATGTTTACTATGTAGTTTTTACATAGTCATGTGGTGATTTATTTTAATTTTAGCTGGACATCAACTGCAATGTTTACGTGTTGCCACCTACAAGCATTAGCAAGTTAAAGGCTTTAATTTTTTCGTTGAAATACTTCATATCAGTTTATAAGGTCGAATACTTCTACAATAAAAATTCATTCATCCATATCATAACTTCAAATATATGATTAACTTTATTTAGAGACATGCATTCATGGAATCACTTTATACGAAGTATTAAAAAAAGTTTTCTCTCTAGAGCTTCGGCCGCTTGGAGTTTTTTTCCGTCTTCGATTTTAATCGAAGGACGGCCGCTTTTTCCGTCTTCGATTTTAATCGAAGGACGGCCGCTATTTCCGTTTTCGATTTTAATCGAAGGACGGCTGCTGTTGTTTGTGCTTCATACTCGAAGGGCGGATTTGCTGTCATGGCTCGAGGAGATCGGCGTTGTGGTCAAGGTTCGAGGATGATGTATTGCTGTCGTCGTTGGAGAAGATCGGCGCCGCCTATCCGTTTACTCTAGTTGCATGAAGCAGGGATGAGTTTGGTTATGCAGGGACGGAGGATTGATGCATGGACTTTGGCAGACAAAGGTCACAGAGTATCAATTAGCATGGTACCGGTGGTAAGACCTCCTCCTAAACCACCACCATGGGATGTACGAGGTGCTAGAGTTCGTGAACGCTTTTCTTGTTGTTTTTATCTGTTTGTTATTTGTTTTCTTGTGTCCACTTTTGTTGTTGGTTTTGACAATTTGTTTGAGTTTTTTTGCCTCTCTTTATGTCATTGGGTATGGTTGGATCTATGGGAATAGGTTTGGCTGTGTCAAGCCCACTACATGGTTAGCGATTTGTGTTGCTCTCTCAGGGGTGACCGTCTCAAAGTCTCACCACAGGGTTACAGTCGTAGTTGTTGAAGTTTCAGTTGGTGTCAGTTTTATTTTCCTTTTGCTTGATGTAATGATCCTGAATCTTTTGATATGAATAGAGGCCCGTTTGATGATAAAAAAAAAGAGACATGCATTCATGTCATTCGTTCTA